GCATAATATGATCACTCCTTGATGTTCCAGTGATCAACCTGGTTAACCATTACCACACACATTTTCTCTTCCTACAAACAAAATGTAGATAATTTAAATAAGTTATTTATACATAGTTCTACATTTATTTTCAGTTTTATTTGTGTTTATGTTGTTTGCTTGTGGTAGAATAAATTCAGTGTTAGTCTCAATCAGAGTAAACTCACTTAATAGGACTAGTTGCCATGAGTCAAGATTGACTTGAGGGCAGTTAACAACAACAACCTACTAGGGATGTGAGGCCTCAACTACTTCATGTATAGATAAATAATTAAAGAAGCTTTTCCACTTGCAGGGACAAGTGCATGCTTTGAAATATTTTTTCTAGTATTTGAACATCCCAAAGAGTTGTGCAGGAATTATTGTGCAGGGAGGAAATGATTTTTCTTTTTTGTGCAAAACCCTGTTTTTTACACAATGTTTTCTGCACAGGAAACCCAATTTTTGACAGAGAAAGGTGTGCTTTTCTCCATGGAAAAGTTATTGCACAAGATTTGGGGAGGTTGAATACCAGCAGAAAATTGCACTCAGTTTTTGTTATCCTGTTATTCTTCACAATAGTGTTCTTTGACTGTCATGAAACCCATTTTATTTTTGACCTGGGAAAAATAATTTTGACTATTTTTCCTATCCCTACCACTTACATAAGCCCCACTGATTTCTATGGGCCTTCTCTAATTGGGACTAAGACTACTGTGTTTTTATCTTCAATCATTTCTATCTTTTCAAAATGTTTCTAAGCAGGCTTGCAAGGAGTCATCATGAAATGTACAGTATAAATATATAACCAGCAAAATAAATGTGTTGTTATTCTAGTCTATACTCAAGAAATTCAGCACCCTGATACAAAACTGCAAAAATCCAGATATAAATGGTTTAATATGAAAGCTCTTCCTGCCCTCCTTGCCTTGTATTTATTTGCTAAACAAGCCTGAAATATATCTATGTTTGACGGTCAAAGCTACTTGAAAAGCAAGTTGCCAGTTTTAAACAACCCTCTCCACAGACACAAACACTTTCAAACTTCCTATCTGATACTGAGCGCCTACAGAATTCAAGGTCACATCAAAATGTGGCTGATAGGATGGTAGGGGAGAAAGGGATGTGTAAGGGTCTTGCAAGTTAGCAAACAGGGAAACAAATGCACATAACCCCTTTCAGTGAGAGAAGGGAAAAAGAGAAGTCTGGTAGACTTTTAAGGAAAGTCCATGTTCTGGATCAATGGTGTCTAGAGCTTTCCAGGCCAGTGGGATGGTGAATCCTTGATTGTAGACCAAACTTTGAAGGGATTATCTAAGGTGAAGTTATTTTGGAGACAGGGTTTGGGGATCTGGATAATTTCTTTAAAATATAGATTAAAATGCAGAGTGAATTCACCACACGGGGAAGCCATCAACCACCACTGGCCCCAACCCAAGGAGAAACAAAGATGTGAAAGGACCCTCGGGCTAGCACATGCCTGCTGCAAATGACAACAGCTTATTTTTAGCTGAAGCGGCTGATCAAAGGAAAAAAAGGAACAAGGAAAAGTAGCTCAATGCAACCCCTATCATGGCCATCCTTTCAAGGGAAATGATCAAAAAACTCTGAAGGTAGATAATGGAGAAACAGGCTGCAGGTAGGCCATTAATTAATTAATTATTAAAATTGTTCCAGTTCAGAAATTGTATGCTTAATGAAAACTGCACTGGACAGGGAAGATGTGGCCTCCAGAAAGAAGAGCTCAGGGGCACATATCGATCTAGAGGACTTTGCTATTTCTCAACCCTCTCAGACCCAAAAGCATTCTACCTGTGT